TAGGAAAAACTTCTCCAAAAGAGTGGTCAGGCACTGGAGCAGGCTGTTGAGGAAGGAGGTAGAGTCATCTGGAGTCATCCCTGGAAGCATTCAAGAAACATGTAGCTGTGGTACTAAGGAACGTGGTTCTGAAGGCAATATTGATGGTAGGTGCACATTTGGACTAGATGATTTTGGAGGTCTTTTCCAACCCTGAAGGTTCTATGATTTTATCTGAACTCCTTAAATTATGTAAATCTCATCTTCGCAATCAATTTAAAAAAAAACTTATACGGAAGTAAGAAAATACCTTGAAATTCTTTACTACTAATCTGTCGAGCATCTACTCAATGTGTGCTATAAATCTTAAGTACAGCCACTTATAATTATCCCTGCAAAAAACAATGTGGTGGGAAGGAAGTACTAAATTTTTAACACAAATCTGAATGTCTGGATTTGTCTAGACTCGCAGTGTGATAACTCTCACTGTCGAGGTCAATTTGTTGGGAGCGTCAGTGAAACAGTAGGATTTTTTTGCTTTTATACACAGTTTCAACTGCACAGTTATTCAACGCCAATTTCCTATCTCAACCCTTGCCTGCAAGAACATTATATACACCCAGAGCTAATCCTATCTTTTTTTTCTTCAGCGTCAATAAAAATAAAAGGGGGGGAGGGGGGAAGACAAAGAAAAAAAAAAAAAAAGGCAAAAGAATTCTTTATGGAAACTTTGTTATTGTGGGAGTGATGGCTTGTCACAGCAGACAGAAAGATCTTTCATACATGTATGACATTCTTATCCAAACAGTTGTGCACATCCTATGGTTTATCTCTGTGAATGTTGAGAGACTGATATTTAAAAACCACAAGCTTTTCTTCTTATCGTAACCCTTGCTTGGGTGCAGTCCTATGAAGAGTTAAATCAGTCTGTGATACTGTGTCTTATCACAGTAGTTAATTGCTTCATTTTGGTGAAGTCAGAAAAAATGTTTATCATATGAAAGCTTGGAAAGCTTGTCTTCAGAAACCTCTTAATACAGTGACATTGACAGTGGGATCAAGTACATTCTCATCAAGTTTGTGGATGACAACAAGCTATGTGATAAGGTCAAGATGACTGAGGGATGGGATGCCACTCAGAGAGACTTAGCCTTTGTCAGTGGGACAAGGAGAAGCTCATGAGGTTCAAAAAATCCAAGTGCAAGGTACTGCACATGGGTAATGGCAACCAACCCCTTGTATCAGCACAAGTTGAAGGATGTAAGGACAGAGAACAGCCCTGCCACAATGGGCATAGGGATACTAGTAAATAGCAAGTGGACATGAACTAGCAATGTGTACCCTCACAGCCCAGAAAGCCACTCCTGTCCTGGACTGCACCAAAAGAATTGTGGTCAGCAGGTCAAGGTAGATGATGCTGCCCCTCTGCTCTGCATTGGTGAGACCACATCTGGAGTACTCCATCCTGACGTGGAGTTCTCGAGTACAGGAGAGGCATGGATCTCCAGCTTTAAAATTAGACTCCTTATCTGGTTTGGACTAACGGGCTTACAGCAGGTTAGAAAAAGACTCGTGTAAATACTAAGGATAGAGAACTTTCTAAAAAGTAAGCAGCTAATCAGCAGTATTTAACCTGCAGGAAAAAGTAATTACTGTGCTTTGACTAATTATAGAAATATTTATAAGGCCCCATCCATACAGAATTCAGAGAATGTATTATATTGCTTCATTGTGTGAAGACTGATTCAACCTTAATGTGACTGTTAAGCTGCAGCAGGTAGAGACCTTGACTACAGCTTGCCCAGCCTTGAGCTTGGACTTAGCCTGAAATGGGTTAATGCTACCTTTGAAACACCTTGGTTGCACAAATATATGCCTTTAATCTGCACAGTACAGAGACTTTCTCACATAGCTGTCCTATTCTGGGGTCAAGACTGTTGAAAACTGAAATGTCATCTAATTGTCTTGCTAGTTCATCAGATGGCTCATCATTTGTTTTCAGTAATGTTTTTTCATTACTCCTATGTCTAGATCTAGGCAGTGTCAATCACATAAATCATGATTTCTAGACTTTCACTTAATATGTACATAGTCTGAATAATTTGATGTACTACAGGTTAAAAGTTTTTTTCTTTCATTTTTCTTCCTGTATTAGTTATTTTATGCACTGTGTGTACCAAGATTGATAGTGGAACCCACTTTAATCTTAGATCCCCGAAGAAGCTGTTTCTTGACATAAAATACTTTTTTTTTAATTTAATAGATTGCATCTTAGAAAATTCAGTGGAAGTGGAACAAGGATGATTACAAATCACTTCTCAATCTAGTTACTAAAACATGTCGAAGACAAAGCATTCACTGCTGTTAGAGAAAACAGATTTATTGTTCACAAAGAGCTACTGCTGAGGAATGTTAAAGTCACCTTTAAATCAGTAGTATTAGAGAAATGTAAATTAAAATCTTGTGGCAAAAGTTATTCCAGGTAATCATAATAAAATAAATTAGCTATCAATTCCAAATAATGTGTTCTATCTTTTCACTAGTAAACTAGTAGTTTACACACTGAACAGAAATGAAATATCATCCTTTAAAAAAAAAAAAAAAAAACAAAAAAAAAACCATCAACAATCTTTCCAATAATGACCTAGTTCAAGGAAAAGGAAAAAGCTGGACCCTGCTCTGAAACGTGGACCCTCACAACTCCTTGGTGCCAGATGGATTGCATCCTGGAGTGCTAAGGGAGTTGGCGGATGTGGTTGCCAAACCACATTCCATCATCCTTCAACAGTCCTGGCTAACTGGGAATGTCCGGGTGGACTGGAGACTGGCAGATATGAAGACCATCTTCAGAAAGGGCCAGGAAGATGATTCTGGTAGCTACAGACCTATCAGTCTCACCTTGGTGCCACGGAAGGTCGTGAAGCGGATAATCTTGGGAGCCACCGTGCATCAATTACAGGTCAGCCATGGGATCAGGCCCAGACAGTATGGGTCTATGAATGGAAGATCCTGTCTGACAAACCTGATTTCGTTCTATGACAGGGTGACCTGCTTAGTGGATGAAGGTGAGGCTGGTCTTCAGTGATGTGGTCTTCAGTAAAGTCTTTGACACTGAAAGAAAAGAATACTGCAGTAAAACATCTGTTTGTCTTTTAAAGAATGTACAACGGTCACATTAAAATCTTCCACACTGAAAAAGATGGCATGGCTAAAGACTGAATCCTTCAAAGATGTATTCATGTGAACAATATCACTTTAATACATGGAAACACTTATGTGAGTAAAACTCTCAGCAAATGTTTTAGGAGAACTTTGTGTCTTCTAACTTCACATTTTCTCTTACATCTCTTCATTTACCTCCATCAGCATTAGCAGCAGTACTAATATTGGTTGGTGTGCTGTAGTATCATTCACTCACAATTTTCACGTACGTCTATGGATAGCAGAGGAGTTACTGAACTCACGTAGTCCCTACAGTGAATGCTCAGATCTTTCAGGAAGACCTGGTTGTGGATGCCCCATCCCTGGAGGTGTCCAAGGCCAGGTTGGATGGGGCCCTGGGCAGCCTGGGCTGCTACGAAATGTGGAGGTTGGTGGCCCTGCCTGTGGTGGGGGGTTGGAGCTTCGTGATCCTTGAGGTCCCCTTCCAACCCGGGCCATTCTATGATTCCATGATTCTGTGACTCCGGGCCATGGTAGCACAAGCTGCTTTTAGGGACAACTGGAAGGCCATATTCTCTAAAGGCCAGCTGTCTCCTCAGTCCCATCCTTCTTCCCACAGAAATTGCATACCCAAACTGACTGCCAGCAGACATCATATATTCGCCATTGAAATAGAGGTTCAATGTGATGCCCGTTGAGCAGACAGCCAAGTGAGCTTTCTGACTGCCTCTCACCACTCGTACCATGAAGCAGAGCTACACAAAGAAAACACTGCTGCCAACATCCAACACAAAATACACCTGCAGTTTGGGGCATCACCACATCCACTCTCACAGACAACACTGCCCAATTCCTTTTCACCTTTTCCCAGCAGATTCTCTGAGAACTTTCGCCCCAGTTTTTCCCTTGTTGAGGATTCTTACCCCACTAGCCTTGACAGAGAGTGGAAAAAAAGTGATAAAGCAAGCATACCTACAGTGTTGGGTGGAAATTCATGGTGCTTCCTCTCACTTCTCCCATTAGACTCTAGGGGTAAAAAGCAATGATACTTTTTCACTTGGCAGAAGCACCTCACACGTGATATATGGAAATTTTTGGCTCAGTGTATGTGATCTGAACACTCAACTCTTCATTTCTTTCCCCTTTTCTCCACTGCATTACATTTAATTTTTTCTTAACTGAGCAATACTGTGCGGCTGCAGTCATTCACAGAATCACAGAATTGTAGGGGTTGGAAGGGACCTCTAGAGATCATCGAGTCCAACCCCCTGCCAAAGCAGTTCCCTACACCAGGTCACACAGGTAGGCGTCCAGGCGACTCTTGAGTATCTCCAGAGAAAGAGACTCCACAACCCCCCTGGGCAGCCTGTTCCAGTGCTCCATCACCTCACCTAAAGAAGTTCTTGCGCACATTCATGTGGAACTTCCTATGCTGCAGCTTATGTCTGTTTCCCCTTGTCCTGTTTCCACGCACCACTGAAAAGAGACTGGCCTCACCACTATGGCCCCCACACCTCAGGTATTTATAAACCTTACACTAAACCACATGTTTATAAACATTACAGCTGTTCTCAGTCTGTATTTACCTCCAAAGGTCAATATTAATTATTCTGCCATACATCCCCCATTTCAGAACTGCAAGCAGCTTTCGTGTCTTCTCTATGTGAGAAGTTAGTCCAGAAAAAGGTATTAACTCACCCTACGAATCCTGCCACGGGGCTGTTCTGCCATTCATACAGAGAAAATTGTCTTTCTTCTCTGCAGAGTACAATGAATTTTTCATCTTCTCACTTAACAGTTGTATCCTTTAAAGAATAAAAGTAAATATAAAATTAGCGAGGATTCAGTAACAGTAGGTCAGCTATAAATACTTGTAAATGGGAAACATACAGTGAGCATCTTTGGAATTATGACATTACAGCATTCTGATTTTAGGAAAGTTACAATTAAGCTCCGTTTCAATACAACCGACTCTATATTACAAACTCAACAAAAACGTATGGAGGAGCAGAAGTCCTACTCAGTGCACTTAGTGCCTTTTACACGGTTATTCAGATACAGCATGGTCACAGCTCTGGCCTGGTTTGACCTGGATCCTTGACTAAATGGCACAGGGGGACCCATGGACCCACGCCCTGTGATGGGTCTAAAAACAAAACAGCGGCAACGAGCTAAGGGAGAAAATTAATTTACTAGATATTATAGCACAATGTGAGAGAACGCAATATAGCACAATACAATTGGAATTGTAGCTAATAAATCAAATAAACAGGAGAGAGACTGTCCAAAACTGAAGGCCTTACTCTAATGTTGAAGGTGGGACAGCTAGGGAGCATACACTGCAGAGCCAAGCAGAAATAGAAGTCTCATGACTCCCAGTTTTCTCTTTCCTTCTAAACAGAAAATGGAAATGGAACAGTGAAGTATTCACAGAATCAGTGATTCTGTGACTCCAATTGAAATTCTCTGAAATTACTCCTTTTGTACCTTTGGATGCTCCCAGATCAAATCACTAGGAATCACACAATTTCTTTCCCCAATAGGACATAAGAATCTAACACCTAGAGAGCTGTATTTTTCAAGGCTGTTGTGTTGTAAGCAATTACACATCTTCATTTTTTATGTGAAGCTATATTCATTCAACCTGGAGTTTACTTTTAAGTAGTTTAGACCACACTTCAGAACTTAATCACACAAGTGGCTCCACCCTCACCTAAAGGTAATGCTGCTTTTCCTGAATACTATCTGATTTGGCCCTGAGAGCTCACAAGCTACACCTGCTCACTAACTGAAGATACAGTAGCAAAAATTATTTCCTGAGTGGTTCAGAGTTGTTCACTTGCATCAGCCCAAGACATTTCCAAACCAAACCCTCCAAGTGGGTTGAGAGGGTATGGTCTGTCTCCTCTGGTTCCTGACTATTGAGTCCCACCATGTCAGAACATACAGCACGTCAAAAAGTCTGTGCAATGCTCAAAAGTGAGATGGGGAGAAGCTAGGTTGGCACGATGAGATATTCTGCACAGCCCTTACTAAGCTGATGCTCAGATAAATCCCTGCTGTCCAGTGTAAACTCCTTTACCTTCTACCTCCAATTACCTCGTCTAATGATCCTCCAGCAAGATGAGCTATATCCACTATGCCCTATCCCATATTCTTCAGGTGCCTTCTGTGCTCTGTCTGAAGTCAGCTCTGCAGGTGGCACTGTGTCCTGCCTGTTGGTAAGTTCACATG